CAAAATTTTACACAAAATAAGTTGAAAAATTTAGGAATTAGGTAAAAACGATCAAATCCCGGTAAAAATTATGAAACAATGTTTTGGGAATGTTTCGAATCGTTTCCCGTAATATTCCAGTTTTGATGGTCCAAAAATGCCTGGACAACGTTGGACAGCGGACAACGTTTTCAGACTGACTATATATCATCTTGTAAATATTGAACTAGATATTCTAATTTATATCAATTTATATTTTCGGAAATGAAAATATTTATTAATAATTTATGTTCATTTTCAAAAATTTGGTTATAACAAAACGGATTTCATTAATATTTTTTAAAAACTGCGAACTAAATTTAAAAACCCATATTTGTTTTTGGGAATAATAATTTTTACAGAAGTTCGAAAATCGTATTTTTTAAAAATTATAAAATTATCGTGATGGATCATTTTTTAATCATTTCAGAAAATATTAAAATGGGTAAAAAGTTCATTTCATAGAATTATTATTAAACCATTTAGATATTTTCATAATACATTATGTGAAAAAATAATGAATACTGGTTACGATATTAACAAGTTAAAAATAAAAATATTAAATTGATTTAATAGTAAAATATCGACTACATTTGTAGTGACTTTGTTTTCTCAAACTTTTTCGTTAATTTGGGAGAACTTCTCTCGATTAGCACAATTTCTTCCATTTCCAATGCTTTTGGTTTCTTCACACTTTTCTTCTCTTTATAATTAACTTCTTGTAATATTTGCCAATTAGTCGGTTCTTTTAATCTTCGAATACACTTATCCAAAACTTGTGGGAATGCTGCAATCGACACAGCCAACAACGTGATCAAATAAAAATTGGGTTGCACCAATACAATTTTCCACCCAAACGTTGAGATATTTGCTGTTGACATACCAGGTATGAACATGACTCCGGTGTACACCAACACATATGCCAATATACTCAAAACAAACGCGCCAATAATAATTATATTGAATCTTTTGACTTTGATTGCCATTGTAATCCAAATTGAAATAAGTCCAAATGTCGTGACTGAAACAACAGAAAATGGAAATCCGTTAACTTTACCATAATATGTAACATCTGTTTTGTTGATTATAAAGAACACAACAATAAAGAATACAAGAGCCTGGAATATTCCAAGCAAAAACCACTTTAAATATGACCAAAAAGAGAACACTTTACTCCTTAACGTTTCTCTATGACTCTGAGGGTACCTTTTAATATAATCCCATGTTAAATCATAATCAAAAAGTGCAATTGCCATTGGTGGGAGGGTGGTGAAAAAAGTGTTATAACAAGTTGTAATCCAATCTTCATACAACATCTGTGCGGTGTAATTTGATATCATTGCAAAGAAGACGTTGACTAAGAAAAATGCAGCGTTTTTATAAAAACAGAATTTGATCAGTGTTGATATTTGCGTCTTTGCATTTTTCCCATAGAACAACAAAAGCTTCCCCAAATGAGAAAATTTCTGAATTGAAAAATCAGCAGAAACGGCTGCTTGACAACCTTCTTTGCCGTATATACCTACACCAACATCGCTCGCTGTTATCATTGGAACGTCATTCATTCCATCCCCAATCGATAAACAAATCTTTCCTGTTAATTTTTTAACACATTTACATATGGAAGCCTTTTGAAGTGGTGACACTCTGCAACACACAACTGTTTTTGCTCTTAGAGCGAGTTCTTTAAAACTTGTGCTGTTATTAAGAAAATAGTCAACATTATTTCCAGAAAGAACAACACTAAAAATACTTTGCTCGTTATTTGGATTGTTGTGCAATAAAGAAAGTTCATTCTCGGCAGCATCAAGAAACTCATTTTCACTTAAAAAGTCAAAGCATAATATTTTCTGATTTGGCACTAACAAATTACAACTTTTTGCGATTGAAATCGCAGTTTCTTGTTTGTCTCCCGTGATTACCCATATTTTTAATCCAGTTGCTATTAAAGTTGTAATTGTTTCTGGTACATTTTCTTGTAATTTATCTTCAATTGCTGTTGCTCCCAATAACTCGAAATTACTCTCCAAATTGTTAACTATTTTATTGTATTCTTCTTTGTAATTCTTCGAAAGAACATCTAATTTCTCAAAGTTGTTGATATATGCATAAGCTTCCTTTCCACTTAAAACACGACGAGCAATAAATAAAGTTCTTAACCCACTATTTGCAAAACTGTTGGAATGATTTTGTGTGGTTAAAAGTAAATCGTTTGATTGTTTGTTGTCCAACAACAATGTTGAAAGAATTGAATCTGCTCCTTTGGCATATAAAACGAACCTTGTACCTGTTTGAACCAAAACACTCATCATCTTCCTTTCACTTGAAAAATCATTTGTTAACAAGATTTGACACTTCAATGTTTTTCCTTGGGGAGTTGTAATATCTGCTTCTTCTTGTGTTCTTCTTAAGAGTGTAAAGCCGTTAGCAGAAGAAGCTTCACATAGTGCTTCTTCATCTGGAGAAATTGACCAATATTCTATTATTGAATCTTTCTGTTCAATACTGCATGAGCTGCACAGAGAAAGGCATTTGAAAAAATCTGATACATTTTCTTGTTCATATTCACGTGTTTCAACATCAATTAATTTTCCCGAATCTTCTGCATCAAAAACCATACCATTAATACTACACTTAGTAAATTTCATTTCATTTTCACTTATCTTAAGTATATTGTTTTTATAGTTATAATAGATTTTTATGTTTAATCAAACAAAATAATAACAATTTAGTTTTAAATCAAAAAAATTAAACAAACGTTAGAGTACCAGTTTTATCTGTAAGAACATATTCAACACCACCCATTTCTTCAATACATACTGAACAATTTGTTTTCATTCCTTTTTGTGTCTCTTTTCCTTCATTATCAATTTTCTTTACTTTGAAGTAGTCGTCTCTTTCTATTAACGACCCCTGAATGTATCGAGTAAGTTCAATAGACACTTGTAATGAAATGGGTATCATGTAAGATGTCACATTGAAAAATCCAAAGAATTTTTTAATAAAGTAAAGAGGAAGACTGAGTTGAATATCAACAGCCAAATACCAGTACCCTTTTACAGGGCAAATGGTGTCATGTTTCCACGTTGCACATCCTGCCATTACTCCACATAACATGAGTTGGAAAGCAACTACAGCCAACACAAGACTGTTCAACTTTTTATTTATGGCCGACTGTTTATTTCTAGGCAAAGAAGAGTTCAAAGCTTGTTTGGTATTTTTTCCAGTGTAACACACAATACAATAAATATATTCTGTTTTTCTTAAAACAGAGCCTCGAAGTACCAAATTTTTCTCGTTTAATGGAATAGTCGAGCTGCAATAATCATTGACACACAAGTTTCCAGAGAATTGTCCAAATTGCTCATTAGGACTCTCAGCAATTAGCTCTCCATTCAATGTGGGTATTTCTTCCTTTTGGAAACTTAACAGTTGTTTTGGTACATACAGCTTTTTAAGAGAAGTTTCTCCGTCAAGGGCAGCAGTTTCAACGCTTGATATTCCATTTTCATGGGATGAGTAAATTAAAACACAGTCTGCTGGAAATGTTTGACCATTTTCTATTTTAAGAGTCATCCCCACTTTCACATCTTTTGCACGAATTTTTGTCTCTGATCCTTTCTCGAAGTAAAAATACTTCATGTGATTGGTCATTTTATCCGATTTGTGTCTTTTAAAATCTTCAACAATTTCTCTGAATGAAGTAACCAAAAGCACAACGGCGATTGGTACAAGAGCCGTAATTGGTGTCACTGTAGATATTTGAGGAATACTACAAATGATCAAATTACACAAGAAATAAATATTTGTCATTTGACTCAAATAAAATCGCATAAATTTGGGAACAAAAGTAAATAGATTATACTTTGTTGTGCTTACAATATTTGATGGAAATTTTTCATTGATTGAATTGATGTAAATTGCTTTGTACTTTTCTTTTGGAAGCGAGAAAGTGTCTAAGAAGGGGGTGTTTTCTTTTAAAAATGTGAACATGATTAAAACCAAGTTACAACCCTTTTAAATACTAAATTAAAAAGAAAAAACAATGAATAACCGTTTTTTAGTCAAAATTAATTGTGTTTTGAAAAGGATTGTAAAATGGTACATAATTATTAATTTATAATTAACGACTCATTTTGTTTAACGATTTAAATTTTTAACGTACGTTATTCTGTGTGTTTTATTCGTTGTTTATTATTAAAAAAAAATAAAAAAAGATTGTAAATTATTTTGAAAATATATAATTTTTACTCGTAAATTAAAATGGGGAAATAATTTCAGTTTTAGATAAAATACATTCAAAGTAATTTATGACAACTCTAAAAGTAACAACCATATTAAAATAATTCGAAAATATTAAAAAACAATGCTAACTAAATTAAAATTAACAACAGCCATCAAAAACATTACCTGTTATACTTAAAATAATTATTTTATATTGATACAAATGGGCTGTTTTCTTCTTGATGAAGAATGAAAATAAAATATTTCGACAAAAAGATTTTTTTTCTGAAAACACACAACATGTTCAACATAAAATGGGATATTTTATTGCTAAACCAACAATTCGTTGTTATTAAAAAAATGTTTGTTTGTTGATTAAAAAAAGTATTTGTCAATGAAACTTTAGTTGACTTTGTGTCATTTATATAAGACTCTCTTAATTTCATACTAGTCGAATTTATAAATTGCCTTATTTACTTTTTAAAATTGTAAATCGTATAAAAATAAAACCATTTGATATATTTCTTTTTGATGTAAAAAAAGAATAAAAACACCAAATTTTGTATTTTTATTCATTTTTAAATTTGAAAAGAAATATATCACAAAGCAAAACATAAAAATGTTATTAAAGTCAATCTTAAAACCGTGCAACTTTGACGTGTCAGTGCAACTTTGTTTATAGTATAATTATAATAAAAAATTTATATGTTTTTTACAAACAAAACAAGAAAACACAAACAAATTTCTTTAAAACTATTACTCTAATTAAAATACTATAACTAAACTATAACTAAAGTTGCACATTTTTTCTCAATTAGTTTTTTGGGTTGCACCATTCAACTGCCTTTTGTTTATCGAAAATTTTGCAATGAAAGAGTCTTTAAATCACACGAATTGGCTTGTCTTATTATTTTCTTTTTTATAAAGAGATGTTTAACATCTGCTCTATCCACAATCGATATACAACACTGTTTTATTTGTTCTGTATGACAATTGGAATTCTGGAATTTTAATGCTTTTTATTAGAACAAGCAGTTGAACTTATCATTTAAAATTTGAGTTATATTTCATGTTGATTTATAACCTAATTCTACTTTTTGTTATTGTTATTGTTAAAAAATAGAGTTTCACCTTTGTTGTGAATAAAAAATAAAGAAAAAATAAAGTTACACACTTGTTCCGAATGACTTTATATATAAAATATCCTTTTTTAAAAATACACAAAACACACCAACTGATACTAATTTTAAATACACAATATAATAAAGTAGAATCAACGTTTTTATTCTGTAAATACAGTACGGAAAATGAACCTTAGCCGGGAAATGTACTTTAGCCCAAAGAAATTCCTATATTTTTCTTTAAAAACACGGGTTTTTACTAAAAAACAAATATTTAAGAAAATTGACTTTTATTTAGGTATAGTTTATTATTTTAATATAACAATAGAAAATAATTAGTTTTTCTTTGGGCTAAGGTTTAATGACCCAACTGTAATCATTATCACCGCTTTTTATTTTTAATTAATAACGAGCAAACAACATCAAATTATCACTTAATCATTTTATTGAAACAAATGAAAAGTTGACCACACCCTCTTCTTCGTTATCATAAATAAGATCTTTCTTTTCAAATTGATCATTTTCAATCGATTCAAAATTATTCGGAAATTCCTCACTATTCCAATGGATGTTTTTTTTCGAATTTAATTCAAACAATGAACAGCAATTAAAAATTATATCTTTACATGAATCTTCCGGTTTAATAAATTCGTAGGACTTTTTTATTTTGCTTTTCCATGTGTATTTGCATTGTTCCCCGTTAATCATGAATTGAAATATCGTGAAATTTGGATCTTGATGCCAATCATTTTCAAATTCTTCTGGGAAATTCCCAAGCTTAAAGCAATAAAAGTTCTTGTCATTTGTTAATACAAAAAGATAGACGTTTCGTTTTCCTTTCAATTTATCTAACAATTTATTTCGAAAAATTATTCCTTCATTAGACCCATACACTACATCTCCAGCTCTACATTTCTTCAATTGTGAAATATTTTGTGAAATCAAAAATCGGACTGCCAACGAAAAGTCGTTTCTCAGTCCTTCATAACTAAATTGTGTTTTACTTTCATTTTGGACTATTTGTTGTGTGTTTTGATGTGTTTCTGTAACAACAACGTGTTCTTCAGTTTGTTGGATATCACTTTGTTTCTCATTTTCCAAACTTTCGTCATCACCATCATCGTTGGACTGTTTGTCTAAATAAAATTCACTTTCGTTGAAAGTGTCCACTTGTTTTACAACTTGTAAGTCTCTTTGTATTTGTTCTTTTTCATTTTGCATGGACAGAAAATACTTTTGAGATATTAATAACACAACTTTCGCAAAGTATGAATCTTCCTTTTGGAAAGAATTTTTACAATACTCGAGAATATTTCCCAAATCCATGTCATTCATTATTTCTAAAGTGATGTATTGATTACTTTGAGGTTGACATGTTTGTGGTTGTGATTGAGTGTTGGTTTGTTGTTGTTTAAGAAATGGATTTTCTTTGTTTGGAGAGGTCATGAATGTTGGGATGTTGGGGGGTCGTGTTTCTTGTGAATCAAATAATTCTACTTTAAATGATTGATATTGTGAAGGAATGGGGTTTGAACTTGAGTAATTCAATTGATTTGTTTGTGTAAGTTGTGTTCCGTTTAATCTTGGATAACATGTCGTTTGTAAATTACTACTTGTTGGTGTTTGGTAAGTTGGAATTCTGTTTGGAGTTGACATTGACAAATAAGAACTGGTTTGATTTGGAGAAGTGTATTGGATAGGAGGAGTCGGATAGTTGGGTTGTGATACAAAATGCATTGTTTTGTAAGTTTTGAATTTGAGTTTAAATGAAGTTTTTTAAATAAACAAAAATCATTACAATTTTTATTTAATTGTTTTTAAAAAAAATATAGTATTTTTATATTAATAATAATTATTTAGAAAGATTTTTATGATATAAATTTGTTGTATTTTAGGTTTTGCACTCAGGTTTTTTAATATCAATTTTTGATATTAAAAATGTTAATAGAACGAAAAAAAATCTTTACCCGTTTTATTAGCATTTTCGATACCAATTTTTGATAATAAAAATCACAAGTATAAAGTTTAATGTGTATGTATTATAATAATAAAATATAATAAAATTAATTAATTTATAGAAAATTTACTGTTTTCATTGAATAACCATTATAATGATATAAAATGAAACCAATGATGATAGTTTTTTATTGTTTAAAAGTATTTCATTTAAAAATGATCTTCGAGATTTGTCTTATTGATGTTTTATATTCCCAACCCCAAATTCGTTTGTTACTAAGATGTGGTTGTAATAATAGTTTTTTGTTTGTAAGACTATTTTATATTATTAATAATCAAATGAATTGAATATATGTTATTTTATTTGGTCGAGACATAATTATATTATAGCTGTTCGGCGACTTTACAGTCCCTTTGAAAGTCGCCGACTTCTCAGTAATTTCAAAAGTCGCTGAACAGCCATTATCCAAAAGAATATTTAAATTTAATCTTTAGTATTTAAGTACTTGGTTGTTTATTGTTTTAAGATAATATAAACTGACTGATAACTTGTTTAGGGTACATAAGGTTATTCCAATTAAAAAATTTACAAATAAACAGACATTTTTTATTTATTTTTCTTCTTAAAAAACATTGGTTTATTAAAGTGTTAAACAAAGAATTAAAATAATTATTTTATTAGAAATTATATTGGTTGTTATGTGGAAAAATCAAAATAAAAAATTCAAGAAACTTAGACACAACCAATTATAGAAGTGCACAAACCAAATTAAAATTCAATATTTTAAAAATAAAATTCAATCACCAATTTTTTTAAATAATTTGTCAATTTATTTTTAGATTTACTTTAATTTGATTTATAAATACAGATACAAAAAAACCAGGGACCAAATCATAAACCAGGGACCAGACTAAATTAAGCTGTTTTATTTTTGGTATAAAGTTTCCTTGTAAGAGAAAAAATTCCGAATAATCAGGGTTTTGGAGGATATGTTGATTTCTTTTCAAAAACCAGGGACCAAGAATTAATAGACACACTGTTTTTTAAATAAAATAGAAAAAACTATAAAATATGAAACTCTCTATTAATCATTTGAAGCTGTCTCTATTGTTAATAACCAGCCGAGTCAACCTAATGTTTGTTTTTTATATTTATTTATCTTCCGTTGTTTAATACGTTTAATAATTATCAATAATTTACTGAATGCCTAACATACCAATAATTTATTTATTATTTTCTTTATTTTCATTTATTGCGTGAGTCGTTTTTAATGCTAAACAAAAAGTCACTCATCAAATCAAACGAATGAATAGAGAAGACAACGATGTCTTTTTGAAAAAAATGAATGAACGATTTAATTGAATGGTTGTGTTGAAGTTAAACAAGGTTGAACAAAAGAATAGTATTTTATGATTAAATAATAATAAATTTACTATTATAGCTCACATTGAGCTGTTGTTCATTCATACTTTGTACAAAACATTCATTTTTTTCATCCCGAAAAATAACCATTTTAAGCCCAAATAATAAAAAATTACACATTTATTTATATCTTTGCCCATTTTATTGTATAAAATCCGCTTAATATTCAATAGCTTTAATTAGTCTAGTCCCTGGTTTTTCCTGTGGTCCCTGTTAATTCCTCTATCTGTAATTTAATTGTTGTATTTAAAAATAAAATAAAAGTCTTGAAACTTTATTTGTTGGGTTTATTAAAAACATTGAAAATGTTATTATAGTTATATAATTTGTTATTGTTTGTTAATTTTTGGAAAACAAATTTATTGTATATTATAATTGTTATAATTAGTTTAAACATATAATTATTTTTTTGCTTGATGAAAAGGTTGGAATAAATTGAATGATGTTGTTTTGTTTTGTGTTTGAAAGACACTTTTCTGTTTTTATGACTTTTTGAATAACAGTTTATTTTAAATTTAGAAATACAAACTAACAAAACATTAAATTGTTTAAACCTAAACTCTATATATGGTTTTTCATAGTAAAAATAATTAATTTTTTATGATTATATAATTACAAAAAACACCCATTTACAATAACAATGCCACCAATAGAACTATTTCCAAATATAATATTACGTGTTTATTTTGAAAAAATAATAAAATAATGTTTTTATTTTAAAAAATACCTTTTATTTAAAATTAAAATTGAGTTGATTTTATTATTCAAATAAAAATACATTATTGATGTTTGGACAACAATGACAATAGAGACACATTAGCGTTGTTTTGATTTTTTTTTAAAATAGAAGCATTGCCGACACAATTTTTATTTGGTTATTGTTTGCTATTATTTAATAAAAATGAAAATAAAACAAGTAATATTTATTGTATACACTATTACACCTTGAAAAAAGTCAAGAGATGGCACACAAAGATCCATTTTTTGTATTTCAACACTGTATTAATTGAATAATATGTATTCAGTTGGTAAAAAAAACACGAAATTTATAAATAGAATTAATAAAGTGTACATAAAGCTAGAATTTGATAATCAAAAACAACAATTAAACAACAATGAAATGGAGTTGATTACATTATTATTTTCAATATGTATGTATTAAACCAAATGGGTAATGTCAAAGAATTTAAGCTCACATCTCAAATGCTTAAATATATATGTCATGCAATATTAAAAACAAAAAACAGAATGAAAACTGACACTATTTAAAATTAACAACATCAACAATGTCAAAGAAGTTTCAATGATTGAAAACGTTCTTTCCTTTTATGTGATAAGTAGCTCACAGTTAATGAATTAATTGTGCAATTATTAAAACTAATGACTAAAGAAAATACAATAAAAATCACATATTATAACATCGAATGCGCCATAATAAACGAGAAACAAAATTAACAAAGAAACATTCTTATTATTTAATCTGTATTAAAAGATAAAAAGGCGCATCCCCATTTGGTTAATAAAGCATCACCATTAACAAAACAAAGGTTGTTTCTTTTATTTAAAAAACGTTAAACATATTAATCCATTAGAATGTAAGTAAGAGAGGCCGGCTCGAACCGAGTCGGCAAACAATGTAATTGAAAAATATATACCCGTGAACATGCCATTGTGACTTTTTTATTGTTATAAAAAAGTCCCTCTTTGTTGTATACATAAAGTAAGACTGAAGATAATGATAATTAATTAATAAAATAAATCAATAGCGCTTATACGGCATAAAATAACAGTCTTAACAACAAATTATAGAGGTATAAGCGCTTATATTTATAATATTATAATATTATAAATATAATACAGATATACAAAAAGATTGTTGAAGAAAAGAATCACTTGGTATTATTGATCGATTACATTGTTAGTTAATTGTTTTTTATTATAATATATAATAATAAATATAATAATACCTATAATTAAATTATATCATTAATAATAAACATGTAAAATATAAATTGTTTTTTATACAAATTATATTTTGATCACAATTAAACATTTTCGAAATATTTTCTATTATTTTATTTTAGAAGATAATAATATTATCAGAACATTAAATTTTTGAATATTTAAAATTGTCGTAACATCACTGATATTCATTTTATCTTATCTAAAAGTTATTATATTACAACCAAAATAAGCATATCTATTCGCAATGATATATTACTGACTTATTTTGGTGATTTCAAAAGTTTCTTAAGATTGAGTTGTAAATTTATAAAACGTGGTACGTAGTTGACTAAGATATTTTTACTAATATTTTCAACTGCGTTATCAACTTGGATTGACGATAGCAGTATCACTATCATGACTAAATTTTGTCGATGTGGTGTTGGTATCATATTTAAAGTGATAAATTTGGGGAGAACGGTCGCTGTGTAGAAGATCAGACATTTTAAAAAGTTAGAGATGATGAGTTGTAAACCGAAGTCGACATGGTTCAGAATAATCCAATACCTCGCATAATCATATTTATTGAAGCTGTATAATAAAATGGGATGTGTATGATTGTCATAAAGTTTATCCAGAATGGTAGTTTGGATCAGATCATCAAAAATATAAAATAAAATGTGTCCCAATAATGTACATCATCGTGATTTCGAAAGATTATTATAAAATTTTGTTACAAAATTCTTTTATATGTTACAAAAAGTGTGAAGTACTTCAACATCAATTTCATATTCCATATTTTGTAATGACATCAAGCCTAATAAAATTCATATTATTGTATTGAACTGTGTATTAAAGTCAAACCAAAACTTTCTAACTTTGGAAGCGTAAAAATGAAAATTATTTAATTTAAACTTTTTCATTCAAAAAATAGTTTGAAATACCAAAGTACA